CTATAATAACATTTTAACAAATGTTGTACTCTACTTGAAATCACCGCGTTGAAAAACGAAAATTTCACATGTTACAATGCAATACCAAATATATTTTTTTTATTACGTCTGCTTCTGGATCGGCCAACCTTGACTTCATCGGTGATCGATGACGAACTGAGGAAATCGTGATCGCACAATAGGATCGAGAGTCCATTGTATGCGCAATCGTCGAGCCGTGCATCCTTCGAGATATACGTCGATTTCGAGATATTGTTTCACCGACACAAGAATGTCGATCTGCATCGCGAAGCGTGTGATACATGTTGATTGATCGGCATTTCAAAAATGTTGACCACTTGGGACAGGAAGTCGCCATCAGGCTACATCGTTCTTAGAACGAGAAATTTTGCAGATATCGAAAGCTGATTTCGAAACGACGGTGATAATTCATTCAGAAAAAGTTATTCTCAACAGTCTTAATCTCATTACTTTTTCTTTCGTGGTCATTCGTGGAATCGCTTATCGTAAGACGTCGTGATATCAGCAAACTCTGAACTTTGAAATTTTCTACAGAATTTCAATCGACATTATATGCAGTTACGTCGCTTTAAATGCAATTTTAATTATTGTTCATATAATGCTTAATGCGCTTCATTGATCGTATTAATTGCAAGAGACACGAATTATTATTTCAATCAGTCGCAATGCGTCTTTTCAGACATGCTTCTGTACCACCATAATTATAGAACGTGGTTCCACGACGTAATTCTTGCGTTATGTGCGTGATATAAGACTGGATTTATTATCTGTTCTATTTTCTTAATCGATACGTCGCGTATCGCGATATTTCAAAACAAATACAGAATCAAACGGTCGTATTATATCATCGTATGCCGCGAATAGCTTGCAAATATTTTTCAACGCATCCGATAAATGTGAAAAGATTGTCGAGAACACTGCTCGCGACACGCGAAAAATATTGTACGCGTTAAAATGCAAATTTCTTCCGTATCACTTTGATCATTGACCAAAAGGAAGTATCTCTCTGCTCTCTCGTAACATGAAAGCACATCTGTCTGCGGGTGAAAAGTCGATGGTTTATCTCTCTTTTCAAAATCAATACTGTTTCACGACATTCTTCATTTTGCGCGTAGTTTCTTTTTTACGAAAATTACACATTAAAGCTGTCGGCGAACACGCGCAATCGTCACGAATAAAACAATTTTGCACAGAAGATACATTTGGACGATCTCATTTTTACAAAAGGTTGAAACGATGAAATTTCCCGCGAAACCAGATAAAAATTAGTTTCCATACCTCGGAATGAGATTTTATCCGGCTTTATTCATGGAAGGGACAAAGCTCATATGTAATACCATGATTCACACACATGGAATTTCAATGGAACCCGTCCATACAGTGATGCCTTTAGCGAAATTGCATCGGCAAAAAAGATTCACTTTCGATCTAGAACAGTGTTGAACGTCATATACTCTAGTTTTCCTCGCGATTTGATGCTATAAAAAAAAAGAAAAAAAAAAAAAAAAAAA